TTTTAGACGTTGTCCAGTCGGAGATATCCGAAAAATAATCGATGGGCTTCCTAGAAAAAAGGAGATTCAAAATTCTTCTAATGACAGATAAGCAGCTAACGTTAATCTGATAGCTGGCAAAGACTTCTCTCGGCATTCTCGATGGATTTTTGCCATTCCAGAAAATATGAAGATTAAGACGATGACAGAATTTTAGAGAAGCCTTGCGTGGAGCGGAATATACACACTGAAGAAATTCAGGAGACATGTCGTGTGTAAAAGTGTGAATTGACTCTCCAAGGAAACGAAGCATTTCATGGACGAGTGAGCTGTGCCTTCCGGTTGTCCTTCACGAATTGCAAAAACATGACGAACAGAGTAGGCCCTATGCTGTTCTAAGGAGCGTCTCTGTGCTATGACTAAAACTCCAAAGAGTACCCAACCTAGAGGGTGACACTTTCTGCCGGTGGTCCAGGGACTTTCGCTCACAGTTAGCGCGCTCAACGGGGAACGTTTCGTATCTGCGAGTACTCGCCTTGCCGTCATGCAACTGCCTTCCTCTCTCTCGCACGTTTATATAGCAACCCCTTTCGCTGCGGCCGACATTTCCCGGGTTCCGCCGCCCTCTATACTTTGTGTGTGAGGAGACTCCGCCCACAATAGACAGAGGCTGCGGCTGCGGTTGTTGTGCAGACGTCTTTTGGGTGAAGGTTGGCCGAAGCTATTCAAAAATTTCTTCAAATTCGCTCATTAATAGAATTGAATATGGGCTTTTCAATACGTAATAATAGTGCAACACTCGCTGAAATTTGAGAAAAATCGACCTGACAAAAATAAAGAATATGGGATTTACAACATTCAATTCAATTCCTTTCTTTTCAATTTGTTAACACTGTTGCGCACGTGAGGTAAACATGCGTCGGTAGCCGAGTGGCTAGCAAGGTAGACCAACAAGCGACACATGCTGGTTCAGTTCCTCCTGCTTTGATTTGTTTTTTTTTTCATTTTTGAATGGCTTCAGCCGAGAAGTAATATCGTATAACCATATAAGGATGGGAAATTGATAATTTTTATGTGGAAAACCTTGAACATTTATTTGAAATTTGTGTCATTTGAACCGTTCTCTTCGGTAAACCGTTATACAGGGTGTAGCATAATTACCCGCTCAACAGTTTGTGCTACCATAAAAACGGATTAAAGCGCTGTATTGAGCTCAAAATTTTAGTGAAAAAATTTATATAATTCATCAGTATACTGACCAAGTTTCAAACTATTTGATCAACTTTAAGCTTAGTTATCGCTTGTCAAAGTTGCTTCATCTCATAAAACATTACACCGTTCATCTTTGGACAATCGTAACAATACCTAGACTTGAGGAATCGTTTTGAAATTTTCAGACAAATTATTGATCGGGTTATTGGAAGTTCAAGTCACCTTCCCTCACTTATCGCTAAAACCCTAATTTCCCATGTACCCAGTTCAACATGATCATTTCTATCATCCCATTTAATCACAAACCACACATATTCTTCGTCAAGCTTAGACAATGAAAGACTATACAAACTACAAAATTCCATTTATTTTCTACCGGTCAGTCTTCACTGCAAGGTCATACGGGCGGCCTATTCAAGACGACGAGAGGAGAAAACCTGCAGTAATCATCATCGTGTTGATTTCTGTTAACTTTTAACAGTTTAAAAATCATCAACATTTCAACATCTTCCCTTGACGATGTTTCGTCAAATTTTGATTATATTTTCCTTCCTAATATTATTATGGAGGATTGAGGCAAGGCCCCAAAATGGAGATGAACCAATTCCGATTGCCAAGTATGTGATGTTGAACAAGGGGTGAAAATGTACCTTTTGTTCAGAGACGCATCAGCTAGAAGACCTTCTTATAATCATTCTCCAAGTGACTTTGCCAAGGCGCCAGTCGAACAGAGCACTCAAAAACCAAGAAGAAGACATAGGTAACGTAAAATCTGTGATAGAATGGTCCTCTAACTTTCAACTTTGAGCCAATATAAGTTGGTTTCTGTGAGACATATAAAACGTTTGTCAACTGATAAATTGTTTATCATAATATCCCAAACATTTTAGCAGTTGACACATTTTTGATATCTCTCATACGAACCGAGATAATAGAGCTCAAGCTTTTCAGTGTGGGGCCCTTCTATTACAGGTTTTACAGTAGTTTAGATTTATTGAAATAATCTGATTTTTAAATACAAGATTTTTAGGCATCGTCAACCAAGTTATGACGATGCATACGAGAAACAAATGGAGGATTGGAGACAACAAAGGAAAGAAGCCAACAGAGCTCGCCAGGCAGCCTATGATCAGTACTATCAGGACTATTTTGATAGGATGAAACAGTATGCAATCAATACACATGTCAGTCGGTAGGTGGATTTGGAAGGATTCTGAAAGAAGAAAACCTATTGAGCTATTTAGCTACAACCAATTGTTGGCTCAACAAGAAAAAGAGAAGCAGCGATTCGCTCAAAACATGGAAGAATTCGGATTAAGAAGCTCTGCTTTGGGAGTAGATAGAGCTGATATTGATGGAAGTGAAGTTTCTCATAGACCAAGGTTTGATATGGTACTAATAGAAAATTACATCTGAACCTTAAAAATTTAGTTCCCCATTCGGAGGAATCACTGATAAATCGCAATTGGAGCAAAAAGCAAAAGCGGCTGATGTTCGTGGAATGATGGTTAGTAGACCACCATCGGCAGTCGAGCCACGTCCAGAAAATATAGATGTTCATCGAAAGGCGTTGCATCTAGAAGCACTCTGTAATAAGTTTCTTCCAACTGTAAGAAAGCATTGTTTTGGAGGCAACAAGACAGAAGAGAGATATGGAAATAAGTGTAAGGGATATTTCCATGTGAGTTAAAGACCAAATTCTGCTCTCCAAAGTTTGAAATTCAAACTAATTTAAATTTTCTAGGATTGCCAAAGATTCCTTCCAAAATCCGATCCACTTTATAACATTGCTTATGCTTTCAACTCCAATGTCGGACTGAATCTGGGAACGTGGAGTGTGAAGGGAATTCCATACTATCCAATAAATGAGGAAGGAGCAATTGGAGCAGGAAGAGAAATGAATATTCCATTTGGATCATGGGGAGGAGGATATTCCGATCACATTGGTGTTAGAGATTATTGGTCGCAATATCAGGAGATCGGAGCTAATTGGTATGAAGGGAAGTATGGATACAAGTCTGGATGGAGTGTTCCATTGGTTCAATCACTGGGAATCGAAGGGGATACTCATGCAGTTGTAGGTTTTTTAAAGTTTCATTCTGGTCTGGTCCAATTTCAATCAGCGAGGGTGGGCGGAGCTTAGATCAAGTAGCGAAATCCTTAAAAGAGCATTTAAATAGGCATGTCTTTCTGGGCTATTTTCCCCAATTTTTTGAGGAAAAATGACCAAAACTTTTTGAACAGTTTTGGACCATTTTAAACAATTTTGTACTATCTTCAGGCCAATTAGGACCATGTAGATCATTTAGGAACATTTTTGAAACTATTTTTAAGCCATGCATGACTATTTTCAGGCCAGTTTAGGTCATTTTTAGACCATTCCAGAAATTTTTCAGATCATTCTAAAATGGTAAAGAATAAACCAGAATGACCAAAAAACAGCCCTAGTCTGAAATTCTGAAATTCTGAAATTCTGAAATTCTGAAATTCTGAAATTCTGAAATTCTGAAATTCTGAAATTCTGAGATTTTGAGATTCTTAGGCCAGAGCAATACTTCATAGTGATTATTTTTAGGTAAGCGTTCCTTTGAAACCGGGAGAAGCTGGAAAACCGATAGGAGTAGATGTTGGAGGAGGAGTTGGTCCGTACTACCAACAGAATCAACATGTCGGAGTTGACTATCTGAATGGCAACGTTGGAACGAATTTCGGTGTTGGAGTACCGATGGCTGGTGTTGGAGTGAATACAGGAGTCGGTGTCAACTTCCCAGGTGTCAATGATATTCTTGGAAAGAAATAAGAAAAAGGAAATCTCATTGTTTTTATTCGAAACGGTTTATTCACAAAATATATTCAGGAAACCATGAAACACGAATTTAACGATCTAAATTTTTTTCAAACTTGTGTAATAAAAGATTTTAATAAATTACAATTTGGAAGCAAGATCAGTTGGAACGGTTGGAAGTTCTGATGCTTCGGTCAAATCAACATATGCGTTTGAGATGACAATTTTTCCCGTTTCTTTGACTTTCATTTGGAATACAATTCGATTTCCAGTCTTCCAGGTTTCTGTTACCAACGTCTGTCCGGGTAGCACTGGAGATGAGAAACGAACCTGAATACAATAATATTATTT